CTCCTTTAAAACATTGTAATAAATAACAAATCAGGTAAAGTGGGCACCATTGGTCTGAAGTGGAGGGAAGATTTAAATCAGAGGAAATAACAGCAATAAGGCCATGCTGTTTGTTCCACCACTCCCGGGGGCTGTTAGATGGGAAATTCGGTTTGTTTAATTTACAGCCTGCAAGCACAGCTGGGGATCACTCCAGGAAGAGCCAGCCTGTTCCAAGATAGCTTGCGGCTAAGCTCTTCGATCCCCATTCTCTCCAACGGGGACGTTTCCAGCCTGCTCGCAGCCTAGTTTATATCGTGTCTCTATCTGTGGTGAGTTTCAGGGGACTCCAGCAGCAGCATTTGCAACAGGTGCAATCTGTAGAGAGGCAATTGTTCCTAAAGTAGTACTTACGGCACTCTGGCTGATGCTCACTGTCCCTTGAGCCAATCAGAGAAACATATCAGGCAGGGCCGCATTACGACTTGTGGGCCCTAGGCACTTTTGCCTTCGTAGGCCCCTTCCTCCATAAAAAAAGAATTAAAAATTATTTGATATAACTTTAAATACTTCAACATTTTATTTTTTTCTGTTTTAGGCAAAATTTAATAGAGTTTCTTGGGCCCTAAAAGTTTCATTTTTTTTCTGATGTGAGAAAAAAAATTAAAACATTTTCGTGGGCCCCTAAAAGTATCGTGGGCCCTAAGCACTGTGCCTACTGTGCCTAATGGATAAGTCGGCCCTGATATCAGGGTTTATTTTCCCCCATCCCATTAAATTTTGCACAAGCTGGCTTCTGATTGATTGAAATTTGACCCTCCCCCCCTGGCAAACAAGTGCATGAATTTAGCAACCTGATTGGCCGGCACTGATTCCACTTGGGATCAAATTAAGTTGGGATTTCTGATTGGTTCCCACTTTTTGCCTTGAAGGGGATTCCCCTGCCTCCCATGGGACTACCCCTCTTTGAGTACCATTCATGGCTCAGTTTTATCTTCAGGTGCCTAGGTCTAGTGCCGGCCATCAATGCTATGGTGAATTTCACCAAATGGCACCAAACCAATCAACCAAACCAAATTTTTCCAGGGGCTCAGTTACCTTACACCAGTGTTTCTCTGTGAGGCAATCCCCTTATATGTAGTCAAAAATGTTCATGACTCTCTGGAAAAGTAATCGTAAGCATGTGTATCCATGTGAAGCCTATACCATGGATTGGTGTGCATTTCAGGAGGCTAGGAGAGATCTCCAAGGGGAAGGATGGAAATGGAGTGGGGGAGCATGATTTTCTTTAGATTCCAATAACATTTTTCAAGCCTCACAATCCTTGCCCTACACACATACAGCCTTTATAAACCCATCTGGAGTCACGACTAGAGATGGGAGAGAAATGGTTTCCTGATTTTTGCCAATGTGTTCAAGAATTTAAAAACATGGAAGATCAGTGCTCAAAATTGAACTCTTGAAAACGTTTGTGACCTGAGGGGGGAGGAGAGGAGAGAAGGGATGTCTTAGGGCAATGGAAACATTTTGTTTTGATTTTGGACTCTCTTTTTCAATTTTTTAACATTGTATTAGACTAAATTTCTAAACAGTGGTTGTTTTGAATTGACAAACCAGAATTATTTGTTTTGTTTGAAAATGCAAAACGAAGCCCCCTGGTAACTCACATTGCTTTTTTTTTTTTTTTTTTTTTTGGACACTGGGAGAGTCATCAAAACTGACACTATTTCACAAACAGTTTCAGTTTTGACAAATCTGCATTTTTATTTTTATTTTTTACAAAAAAAAATTCCTGACCTGCTCTAGTTGAGGGACCCCTCTTTTAGCCAGAGGGACCCCTCTTTTAGCCCTGTCCTAGAATCTGAGAGCATCTTAGAGTTTTCTCTTCTGCTCTTCAAGTCACATATCTTGAATGCTAGGCCCAAGACTAACACCGGCACACACACGCATCTGGGTTTTTATTCTTATTCTAGCAAACGCCCACTGATTTAAAGAGGAATTTGTTTGTGTAAAAAACCAAAAGGCCCAGTTCTGATGATCCTGTGCTGAATAGGACTTTTGTCCATCATGATGATAATTATTTACACATGCTTTAGAGCTGGGGTGGGGAACCTTTTTCGGGTCGGGGGCCGCTGACGCACAGAAAAATCAGTTGAGAGCTGCACACAAGTGAGAAGCAAAAAAAACCAAAAACCCATTCTCACGGACGTGACCCCCGACTGAGAAGAAGAAAGACACTTCCCACATTCCCCTCACACACTACTGCCTAGAGGGGCCCCCAGGCTAGTAGATTTTGTGTGCTCGAGCCCCACCGGAGGGTAGGTACCAGCACGGACTCCCCAATGCTAGAGGGGAGCCCTGAGCCTCAGGGGCTGGAACCAGGCAATTATCACTGGGTATGATCCAGTAAAGACAGCTGAGCTACCTTTCCTCTAGCTAGGTCGGGTAGCAGAGTAGTTAAACGGTGGCAGTTGGGTTCTGGCTCACCCTAAAACATGTGCTTCAAGCTCTTTGCTCTGGGATTCGAGCCGGCCAGATGAAAGCTAGCTAGAGATGCCTGCAGGAGCTGCAATCACACCCCGGGATCACACCACCGACACACCCTTTGGCTACGTCTACACTGGCATGATTTTCCGAAAATGCTTTTAACGGAAAAGTTTTCTGTTAAAAGCATTTTCGGAAAAGCACGTCTAGATTGGCAGGATGCTTTTCCGCACAAGCACTTTTTGTGGAAAAACGTCTGTGGCCAATCTAGACGCGCTTTTCCACAAAAAAGCCCCGATCGCCTTTTTTGCAATCGGGGCTTTTTTGCGGAAAACAGCACTGTGCTGTTTATACTGGCCCTCTTGTGCAAATGATTTGCGCAAGAGGGCTTTTGACTGAATGGGAGCAGCACAGTATTTCCGCAAGAACATTGACGATCTTACATGGGATCGTCAGTGTTCTTGCGGAAATTCAAGCGGCCAGTGTTAACAGCTGGCAAGTTTTTCCGCAAAATCATCTGATTTTGCGGAGGAACTTGCCAGTCTAGACACAGCCTGTGTGTACGACAGAAGACAACACGTGGATATGAAACTGATGGGGCATTTTGCAGAATAAAGAGCTCCTTGGGTGGAGTAAGGGTGGGGGTTCTAGCTCATTAAGGAAGCCCCCTGACTTTGCCCCAGTGCTCCATTTCACACTAATGTATGCACACTGACTGCTGCCCAGGGCTGGTGGCAGACGTCACTAGGCCCAGGGCAAGGTAGGGGGCCTTGGCTCCAAGCCCCTAAAAGGGGCGGGGCTCAGGCAGAAGGGGCGGCGCTGGGTCTAGTCTCCCCCACCCAGCTCTGAGCACTGCCTGGACTGTGCCTCATGGGGTTCTGGCACTGATTTACAGGGCCCAGGGCTCTGGACACTGCTGCTGCCATGGTAACAGCGGTGCCCTGGGCCCTTTACAATCACCAAGCTGGGAAGGCAGCTGTCACCTTTGCGTCCCCCACCCCCACATTGGCAGCTTTGCTGCTGCCTCTGATGGGACCTTGGGTGGTTGAAAGAAATTGGTCTTTTCAGCCTCATGCCATAGACCAGTGGTCACCAACCAGTAGATCAGGATCTACCAGTAGATCTTGGGATAGGGGATCCTGACTGGTTTGGCCGGGAAGCTCTCAAGTGCTGGCACTTCAGTTGCCCCTCCACCCACTGTCATGCTGCTCCTGTCCTCTGCCTTGGCGCTGCCCCCTGGGAGCCTCCTGCTTGCTGTGCAGAGTGTGGGAGGGAGAAAAGGGGGGGGCCTGATGTCAGGGTGTCCTGCCTCTCCTCATTTCTGTACCCTAGCTCCACACACAGAAAAGGGGATGGAGGGAGTTTAGCAATGCAAATCTCTGCCAATCTCACACACTGTGGCTGTGTCTACACTGGCATGAATTTCCAGAAATGCTTAAAACAGAATAGTTTTCGTTATGAGTATTTCTGGAAAAAGAGCGTCTACATTGGCAGGCTGCTTTTCCGGAAAAGCCCTTTTTCCGAAAAAGCATCTGTGGCCAATGTAGACACGCTTTTCCGGAAAAGAGCCCCGATCGTCATTTTCGCGATTGGGGTTTTTTTCCGGAAAAGACTACTGGGCTGTCTACACTGGCCCTTTTCTGGAACAGTGTTCCGGAATAAGGACTTATTCCCGAGCGGGAGCAGCGTAGCTTTTCCGGAATAGCGGCTGATTTTGTACAGTAAAGTGTCGTTGCTTTTCCGGAAATTCAAGGGCCAGTGTAGACAGCTCGCAGCTTATTCCGGAAAAGCGGCTGATTTTCCGGAATAAGTGGTCCAGTGTAGACACAGCCTGTGTGTGTGTGTCTGTCATTCTCACAAACACACACTGTCCTTCCCTCTCATCTTCCGACCCGACACACACCTTGGGGGTTGTTTCTTCTTTTACTGCTTGCAAAGTGGGTTATTTTTGGTTTCTAACTGGTCTGTGCATTTCACAACTTTCATTTCTCTTATGCTTAAATTTAATTCTTTGAGTAGTGAGTTCTAAAATGCCTGACCTGTTGTGGCTGGAGTCATTCTTTCCATCAGGGGAGGCATAGCTCAGTGGTTTGAGCATTGGCCTGCTAAACCCAGGGGTATGAGTTCAGCCCTTGAGGGGACCATTTAGGAATCTGGGGCAAATCTGTCAGGGATGGTACTTGGTCCTGCTGTGAAGGCAGGGGAGTGGACTTGATGACCTCTCAAGGTCCTTTCCAGCTCTCTGAGATAGGTATATCTCCATATATTATCCCTGTGGTAATTGCTGCTCCTGGAAGTGGCTGGCTTGCCCCTGAGAAAGGCAGAGCAGGGAGTCCCCACATGCTGTCCTTGCCTGCAGCTCCCATTGATTAGGAAATGTGGTCAGTGAAAACTGTTAGGTCAGTGCCTGTAGATATGGGGCAGCACATAGAGCCATTGCTGTACATGCCAGCTGCTTTCAGGAGTGGTGCAGGGCCAGCGCCAGCACAGGAGTGAGCCTGCCTTAACCCCACTGCTCCACCGTCTCAGTGAAACGGTGCCCAGCCAGAGCCTGCTTCCTGAACCCCCGTCCCAGCCCTGAACAACTCCTGCATCCAACTGCCTGCCCCAGACATGAATCCCCCTTCCCCCAAACGCCTTTCTAGAGCTTGGACCCCCCCAATCCTCCACCCTGGGCTAAGCCTGGAGCTCCTCTCACGCTCTGAACCCCTTGACCTAAGAACAGAGCCTGTACCCTAAACCCCTGGGTGAAAGTGAATGAGGTTAGGGGAGGAAGAGAGATGGAATGAGCAGAGTGAGGCCTCAGAGGCGCAAGTGAGGTGAAGGGGGCAAGGGTATTTGGGTTTGAGGTGGATCTTGTATTGAAAAAGTGATCTTGCGGTTAAAAAGGGTTGGAGACCACTGGAACAACCACCCAGCCATGCACCCCCTGCTATGTTTCATTCCTGTCTCTCTCAGGAACAAGCAGGCTACTCCCTCTGAAGTCCCCTGGATATGTCAGGGCAAAACTAAGCCTGCTCTTTCCCCGTGTTCAGGTAGCAGCACTTGAAACAAAGAAAGGAGGCGGTCCTCTCATAGAGAACTCAGTCACAAAATCCAGGTAATAGCCAGCACCAAGTGATGTTGTCGAGTAATACCTGGACAGCAGGGCCAGCCCGTCACTGGGCCAATGCAGACACAGGATGGTTTTTACTAGTAAATAAGCCCGGCTGGACATTGCATAGTATCTTTATCAGCCCTATTGCAAACACTTGCACTAGCTGGGCTAGCACAATGGACTTATCTCTGAAGCAGCGCAAATGCCCCGATTCAAATGTCTATCTGGAGTCAGACTCAAAAATCTTTTGGGAGCACTTGGGGGGAAACCGAGTTCAGTGCCTGGGCTGTTTGCGAGCGTGACCTCTCTCAGCACCAGCCAACTGACTGAGAGAACATTTCCTCCCCCCAGGGAGAGCCTGTCTCAGAAACGGCTTTGCAAGCTAAGGCCAAAGCAGCCTGTGCTGGCTGGATGAGGGGAAGATGACGAAAATATGAACCTGCTCTTGTTAACTGTGTTTACACAGGAACAGATGAAAATCAGACCGAAGGGAAGAATGACGCAGGGTAGATGCCTCTCCCTGAGTTTGTGATGGCTCCAGTGCATCTGCCTCACCCCACGGGCAGCACTAGCACAGAACAGCTGTAGGTCTTGCCTTATGAGTTGCTGTGCCCCATTACACACTGTCTAGGAGATGTGCAAGACATGAGTAGCAGAGAGCTGGGAGGCTGAAGCAACATTGATCCCAGAGAGAAATGATGACGGTGCTCAGAAGATCCAGGGAAGAGGAGGGGAGGAAAAAGCATCCCTAGTGAGCAAAACCCAATAATCTCACTCACTCCAGCGTAGGCTGGATACAAGGAAACTCTGGGAAACCGCAGTGCACTCACTGTTTTGTTTTTCCCCTCTCTGTGTGACTGCTTCCGTCAAGTGTTCCCAAACAGGTATTGCATCGATTCTCTTCAGTCAGGGGATGGGCAAGTTGACTTAGCCTTTGCACTGCAGCACAGCTCCAGGAGAAGCCGGGGAGGGGAAGAGACTACATGAGCAGAGGGTCCTGCTGAGTCCCCATTCTGTACTTTCTAATGGGGGTGGTCTCCTCACTGAGTGAATGGAGCAGGATCTCTCAGTGAACCTCCTGGTATGTGACAGAAGGTTACAATGAGATGAGGGACTGACCCACAGAGGGCTCAGTGGAGAGGGTGTTGGGCCACTGTCTCCAGAATGATGAGCCAGGGTCTGCAGGAGGCGGACAAGGTGGGGGAAGGTAACAGAAGAAACCAAAGAGCATTTCCCAATGGAGTAGGAAGAAATGCTGATGCGCCATGGTCTGGCTCTGTGTGGAAGACTAGTGATTTTGTTGTTCTGACATAAAAGTGACAACAAATCATAGCCTGCCATACAGCACGGACCCCGTCTGCCCACGGACAGGACACAGCTCGGTACAGCCTGAGCCCTAGTCACCATACAGCACGGACCCCCTCTGCCCACGGACAGGACACGGCTCAGTACAGCACAAACCCTAGCCGCCATATGGCCTGGACTCCATTCACCCACCAACAGGACACACCAGTGTACATCATGGACCCCGGCTACCCACCATCTGGCCATGCTGCCATACCATCCCAATCCTATGTTAACTTCAGTAGAACTTACTGAGCGAAAATCAAGCCCAGGGTTAAGTGCTTCAGTCAATATGGGCTTGTTTAGACTAGACTGTAAACTCTCTGGGCAGGAATTGTGAGTTGCTGTAAGACTCTGCTCCTGTTCTCCTGGAAGTCAGAGGGAGTTTTGACAATAGCAGCAGGAGTATTTTGGTAAAGCACTGTGTAGTAAGGGGTTCTGTTCCTAATAACATTATGCGCTCATCTTCTATTCCCTACCATGCACAGCATTTTGAAAAGGAAGCCTCAGTTCCACTTGCAGCTGGGGAAAGATGAAGAGATTTGACCAAGGAATCACAGTAAGTCAGTGGCAGAGCTGGGACTAAATCCTCCCCCTAATAACAATGAGAGCTGTTGGATGCTAAAGCCTTTGGAAAATCTGAGTTTTGTCCAGGTGCCTACATGGGCACTGAGCTCTGGCTGTGGGAGGGTCTCTCTCTACACACTAATTCAGGGTGCTGACTCCTCCAGCAATGGGTAGAGAAGGCCTGGCATATCCTCCTATGCTGGCCCTTGATTTCTATTGGGGTTTTGAAAACCTAAAAGATGGCAACTATTTGAATAGCACCTAAGTGACTTAGGAGCCAAAGTCCCATTGACATTCTATGAGACTTATAGGCTATTGAAAATGTTACCCTATAATTATAGCTACCTATGGAGGCTTTATAGGAAACTGATCTAGCATGGGACAAAAGTCCGTTGGTCTCCTAAGATCTGTGCTCTAAGGTTACAAACACAGGCTGTATTCCCAGCAGCCACATAGCAACTCCAGGCTGTCAAGATTCCATGATTCTTTGCAGTTGGTACTGAATGGGAAGCATTCCCTAGTGGTTAGAACATAGGCTGGCACTCATGATGCCTGGGTGCTATTTCCAGTTCTGACACTGACTTGCTGTGTGACCTTGAAGGGCAAGTTTCTCCCCTCTTCCTGGGTTTCTGTTTCCTTAGTTGTAAAGATCACAATTTCCACCTGTTAGAGAAGTTACACTAATTAGGCTAGAGAAAGCTCATAGAGTTCACTCGGTTATCAATGAAAGACAGATATTCACAGCTGTTGTTTTCCCTCCAGGTAACAATTATTTACACTGGGTTTGATAATAAACAAAAGTGATTTTATTAAGTGTTAAAAGTAGGATTTAAGGGATAGGGTCCAGAGTGACCTAGACAGATTGGCGGATTTGGCCAAAAGAAATCTGATGAGGTTCAACAAGGACAAGTGTAGAGTCTTACACTCGGGATGAAAGAATCCCAAGCACTGTTACAGGCTGAGGACTAACTGGCTAAGCAGTAGCTCAGCAGAAAACAACCTGGGGACTACAATGAATGAGAAGCTGGCTATGAGTCAACAGTGTGCCCTTGTAGCCAAGAAGGCTAACGTCATATTAGGGTGCATCAGGAGGAGCTTTGCCGGCAGTTCTAGGGAAGCGATTATTCCCCTTTATTCAGCACTGGTGAGACCACATCTGGAATACTGCATCCAGTTCTGGGGCCCCAATTATAGACAGGATGTGGACACATTGGAGAAAGTCCAGCAGAGGACAACAACAATGATTAGGGGGCTCAAGCACATGATTTATGAGGTGAGGTTGAGGGATTTGGGCTTATTTAGACTAGAGAAGAGTGGAGAGAGGGGATTTGAGAGCAGCCTTCAACTACCTGAAGGGGGGTTCCACAGAGGATGGAGAGAGGCTGTTCTCATTGGTGACAGATGGCAGAACAAGGAGAAATGGTCTCAAGTTGCAGTGGGGGAGGTCGAAGTTGGATATTAGGAGAAACTATTTCCCTAGGAGGGTGGTGAAGCACTGCGATGGGTTCCCTAAGGAGGGGGTGGAATCTCCATCGCTAGAGGTTTTTAAGTCCTGGCTTGACAAAGCCCTGGCTGGGTTGATTGTGTTGGGGTTGTTCCTGCTTATAGCAGGGGGTTGAGCTCGATGACCTCCTGAGGTCTCCTCCGGCCCTAGGATTCTATAATCTTTTTCTGACCTGGGAACAACTGCCCCATCTCCCCTCCTTAGAATTCTTTGTCTCCAGGTCTCTTCCTGTGTCCTCTTGTGATGGGGAGCAGTCTGTAAAGCCAGCTAAAGACCATCATCATTCACTTCCCATCCCTTAAAAATAATTTCCCCAGGTCAGGAATCCTTAATTCAGTTCTCCACGCAGCACCCCTCCCATTAAATTCCTTGAGTATTACTAATAGCTTTCACTAGAAGACCTACATTAATAAACATGGTTACACTTCATACTTCTAACTTCACGTACAAGATTGATACATGCACACAAACAGAATATACACATTCCAGGGATCACACACTCTTAAATGATAGGTTACTTGCTCTGTTTTGCATAAAGCATAGTTGAGTTCTGTATATTCACATTCATATACAAATAAGGGGGGTTAGTGTCACGGCTGTTGCTGCCCTGGATGGGCAGTCACATGGGAGCTGGAGCAACATTTACAGCAGGAAACCCACTGCCAAAGAAATTCAACAGCTCCACAACACAGACGCCTGTGATGAAGCACCAAAAGGCATGTCCCCGCCATGCCCGCCTGCCGAGGGCAATGCTCACGCGAGTCATGACAAATGAAGTCTGCAGACATTCAGAGGGCAGCAGCACAGCCATTAATGTCTAAAATTGCCAGGCTTGTGCCTACGGGACATGAAACAACATTCATTTTGCGTTGACCAACCTGCAGCTCTATCTTGATCGTTTTGCCACTGGCTGCTCAAAAAACCCTTCTTCCCAGGTAGCTGTGACCTCGGTGCCCTATTTAAGCAGAGAGAGTAATGTCATCACAAGCCTTAATGAGGAAAGTAGTTAGAGGACAAAAGCCCCTGTGGTGAGTTGGATATTGGGTCACTATCCCTGCTAATGTCACACTGCCATTTCATGGTATTTTTAGAATTCTCCCTTTTGTAAAGCAAATTCATTCTTCAATTGCTTAAAAGCACAGGGGCTGCTGTCCTCTAGCAGCTTACTGGCAAGAGACTAGCTTCTTCTGGCTCATGGAAATTAGCCATTCCCCAAGAACAGTGCTTGGAAACTGAGATTATGGACTGACGAGAAACTGCAACTCCAGAGCCAAACTTGGGGACTGTTCCGGGCCAGACTCAGTCATCCTCACCAGCCATTAACACTAAAAGCAGCAGAATACAAAGACTGGAGATAAAATTGCCAAAAGCGTCCAAGTGTCTCATAGACTCAGACTCATAGACTTTAAGGTCAGAAGGGACCATTATGATCATCTAGTCTGACCCCTTGCACAGTGCAGGCCACAGAATCTCACCCACCCCTCTTAGAATAATCCTCTCACCTATATCTCAGATATTGAAGCCTTCAAATACTTGGAAGGCCCCAAGATGCAGAGAATCCTCCAGCTGTGATCTGTGCCCCATGCTACAGAGGAAGGCGAAAAACCTCCAGGGCCTCTGCCAATCTACCCTGGAGGAAAATTCCTTCCTGACCCCAAATATGGCGATCAGCTAAACCCTGAACATGTGGGCAAGACTCACCAGCCAGACACCCAGAAAGTTCTCTATAGTAACTCCTAGTGTCACAGCTGTTCATTTTCAAAAGTGATTTGGGTACTTAAGAAGCCTAATTGAAAGTTAAAGGATGCAGGCTCCTAAGTGGTTTAGAAACTTACACCACATCAAAGTGGTTCTGAATCAGACATCCAAACCATGGGTGCTATTTAAGGGGAGAGAGTGGAGTATGTAGCCCCCTCTGGGCATGTCTACACTAGCAAATTATTCTGAAATAACTAAATTTGAAATAATAACTCCTGAAATAACTATTTCAAAATAAGCTTATTCCCCAAAGAAAGCCGGAGTACAGATTTTGAAATAACAGGCCTGGTAGTGTGGCTGCTCCACTTATTATTTCAAAATAAGGGGGGTTAGTGTAGACCAGGGCTCTGAAGTTTGAACTTATACTTCAGGTCTGCTCTAGTCTAGCCCCAGAGGCAGCTCTTAACTGCACCAGCTTTCCCTGCTCCCAGCTTTGCCTTTGGAGCAGGGAGTTTGTTTATAAACAGAGGGAGGTAGGGTGATTAAGATAACAAAGGGCTTGTCATTTCAAGTAATTGAAGGGTCCTTCCGTGATCGTGAAAACATATTTAAAAGATTGGGGGGGGAGGGGGAAGAGTCGTCTGCATTAGGACCACATCTGCCAGAGCTTTCTCCTCTCCCCCACTATTGGTGGGGCCTTTTCTCCTCCCCGCAGCATCCCTGGGCCTTGTCTCTCACCCCTCCCCCAGACTTTCCCCATCCGCCAAGGGCTGTTCTTCCCTCCCCCATCCCCTTTCCTCCCCCTCTCCCCCGGTCCCCATCCTTTTCTCTCCCCGCACCCAGCCTCCTCTGGGCGGGGGGGCCTTTTCTCTCCCCCAGCCTCCTCTCTGGCCTGCTAGGGGCCTATTGTTTTATAAACTCCACTTTGGGTAGGAATTCTGTTTGTACTTTCCACCCATAGATGGGAAGTCACCTGGCCAATCCCTACCAGTGAGGGAGGTCACGTGACTTCCTGGGACCAACCCCTGCTAAGACTTAAAGGACAAAAGAGGATGTTTGCAGTGGATCAGACCTTGAGGGAAACACACTTGATGGCTTGCCTTTGCACTTTTAAAACCACAAAGCATTCCATACACCATAGATCTAACTTTACACAGAAGAAAGATACATTCACCAAAATAGAATAGACAGACCCAGGGGATTATGACATGAAGGACCTGTTCTCTCCCCCTCCTGGCACTGTGGCCAAGGCCAGGGAGAAGGGTTTGGGGCAGGGGTATTACTTAGTGATGTGCTGACAATCAAGATGACGGAGCCCCAGCCGCTTGGAGCTGCCCCCAGCGGACACTCGGCAAGATAGCTCTCCCCAGTGGCCACTCCCATGTCGTGTCCCTCTGAACAGCAGCCCCTCCCTTTGCAAGTTAAGGAAAACAGCCCATTTCCCAGGGCTTCCAGTTGTCCTGGCACAACCAAACCCTGACCTTGCTTTCCTTTAGAAGAGGAAGCTGCAAACCAAATTTGGTGGCCCTAGCTCTTACCGTTTAGGAGGAGTTCTTGAACAAACGGACTCGCAGACAGACACATTCTAAAATATAGAGAGGAAAGATTAGATACAGTGCTCCTGTCAGCTAACTGCTAAGTTCTTTGCCAAAACAATAGAGTTTTCAAGTGTCTTAGTAGCCCCTGGAGCAGGCTCTGCAGGGCCAGTTGGGTGGGATCCTAGAATCCCAGGCCTGATTTCTAACCCTGAGTGTGGGGTTCTACCCCCCATCAGAAGCATCCAAAAAGGAGCAGCCCCTGCAAAGCCTCAGGTACCTGGTAACAGGATCAGGTGGAGTGGAGCTAGTGCATCACCTTGGCCGTGACGTCCTCCTGTCTCAAGAGAAAAAGGACCAGTCAGAAACTTGGATGCCCATAGGAATCAGGGAGGATTTATGGCAACTGGCACCCTGGGATGGACTCTTCTTCCTCTCTAGTGACCTCCCATGCCAGACCTGCCCCCACTGTAGGAGGAGCTCCTGCCTCCATTCCTTCCATCTCCCTAAGGCAGCTGTTTCTTAGCCGCTTCTCGTTGGCAGATTTCTCTGTCTGGTGTTAGTAGCTGTGTTCTTCCATCCCCATGGGGTTGCATCTCTGGCCCCACAAAGTAGCAGAGCTCCCTATCCCGGGTGGAGTATCCTTAGTGCCTGGGGAAGGGGGATTGATCCTTAACTGAGTAGGGGGAAAGAGACAGACTCATCCGCCAGCTGGGGCCAATGGGAGGGTGATCATTTCTTTAGGGGTCCTGTCGCCTGTTTTCTGTCAATGTTGCTTTTCTGCTGAGTTCTGGTTTCCAGCTGGGTTTCCTCACCTCTGGCGTAGCAGCAGTTAGTAGAGCCAGTAAATCTGCTCCCAGGCCAGATGGTTAATATCCCTGCCTGGGTCACTGATGGACAGTCCCAACTAAGACACCAAGTTCCCTAGTTTGGGGAATTGTGCTGAGTTCTGCTGGAAGGGAAGAGAGGGGGCTCCATCAGCATTCAACTCTCATCTCCCAGTCTCCCCTGGGCCAGGTGTCTTTTTCCCCAAAATCTCTCTGTGGGAGACACCCTCAGCTTTCTCTGCCTCCTGAGGGATCCTGGAGCAAAGGGATGTGAGTAGAGCCTTCCATGAGCACTTGCAGCTGCTTCAGGAGGACAAGAAGGAACCCAAGGCCGGGGCTATGAATCTGGCTGGAGCAGGGATTGGAACATGGTCCCCTTAAAGGCCCTGGGTCTCCACTGAACCAGGAGAAGATGGACTTCACTCAAGTCTTTCTCGTTCCCTGCTGTAACTCTGCCCTCCCAAGGGAACACTCCCAATCCACAGCTCCTGCATCTGTAGGTCCTACAGCAGGGGTGGCCAACCCATTCTGGGCAAAGAGCCAAAATAGCAGTGGATCCAGAGCAAAGAGCCGGGGCAAAGTTGTCAAGCAAAAAAAAAAAAAAACCCTCTAAAAAAAGGCTCTGCCCCTTTAAGAAACCGCAGTTAAACACATTTTGAGGTTTTTTTGGCCACAGCAGGTTCCCGCTGCCTGCCACCATCTTTATTTCTGCAACTTTCATAGCTGTGCCAGATGACTCCCCTGCCCAGGTCCACACAGGGAGCTGGAAGGAGAGAGCCATTTTGGGGGGTATTGAGGTGGTTTTCAAGCCATGGGGGGATGGGGGAAGAGCTGCATGTGGCTCGCGAGCCTCGGGTTGGCCACCCCTGTCCTACAGCCTATCGGAGCCAGTCTGACGATGCCTGGAGTCAGGATCAGAGGTCACTTACATCAAATTCAGGGAGGGTGATGGTGGTGAATCAGAACTGGGCTCTGCTGCTCCTTATGACTTTGGCTCTCTCCTGGGACACTGGACCTGATGCAGCAGTTGCCAGGCTGTGGGGGAAGGAGGCAGGTCAGGATCAATAGACCAGTGCACATGCTGTGCAAAGAGCCCACCCCCATCCCCAAGGCCTGACACATTGTGCTCAGGGTGGAATATCTGATTCATCGGTCATGGTGCTTGAGAAGGGGATTGCCACAGTGTGTCGTGGGCTCTCTCAGGCAATGCTCAGTGTTTGGGCTGTTCATCAACAGCTCATCAGGATGGAGACAGCCCCCTTGCCACCCGCTGGCTTGAAAGTCCCAGGTGAGATGAAAGGAGCAACTATGAGGACAATTCCCTCCCTGCCTGCCTCCCCAAATCTCAGTGCCAGTAGGAGAGAAGAGCTGACTCCCTGTGGGCCCACCTGGGTCTCTAGGAAGGAGTCTGTGACTCTTCTGTGAGCACTATCTCCTGTATCTCCTGTTGAAGCTCTCACTCCCAAAGCCAGCCAGGGCCCTGACATTAAGCTCCATCTCCTTCCCCTGTCCCTGAAGAGATGGGCCCAACATAGCACTGCCCTGACCAAGGATGGCCCACGGGAGAGCAGGCTAGGAGGACAGACTGGAAAATGGATTTCCATTCTCCCCTTTCCTGTTCCTGCCAGCACTAAGATAAAACTGCCCCTGCCCCTCCTGACTATGCTCACCTCCAACATGTATCGGAGCCGGTCTGTGTCTGGGATGCATCCCAGCATGGCACACTCAAGGTCAGACAAAGCCTGCAAAGGAAGGGACAGCCATAGGTCACAGCACGGAAGTTGGGAAAACTTCTCCTCCCTGTCATTAGCCCGCTGCTTGGCCAATCAGCATGGAGACCCTGTGAGGTGGGAGACTGAGAGGTCTCAGCAGACACCCCAAAGGTCACCACTACCAGAGGGGACCAGTCTCAGAGCACTACTCCATCTCCACCTCTCACAAAGCCTGTGAAGTTGCCCCTGCCTTGAACCTCTGTTCTGACTGACTGATGTCAGGGTCTCTCTATGAGGTCATCACCTCCCCATCACGTTTCTCCAATAGGCTGAGATCCTGCAACAGGTCTTTGTGATGTCACAGCCACACCCACCCCTCCCCTGCAAAGCCAATGTCCCACCCCTAGCCACCAGCCCCTTGGAACGCACGGTGATCCAAATACAGTGCCCTCAAATGAGCGACAGACCATCGAGTGCTCATAGTTGTCATTCAGCAAGTATTTGAGAAGAATGGCGATGCCTGGATTAACCCTTTGATTTCTGCGTAGAGACAATAATTGCAGAGAAGCAATATAATCAGTCAAATACATGGTCGCTGGTGACTTATAAGGACCTGAAAGTTCCCTGTCAATAGCCACAGTCAATCAGCGTTGAGATTCTGAGAGCTGGGAGGCAAAGGGGTCTCAGCAGATGTCCCAAAGGATAGCCCAGGTCATCTCCATTAGGGGATCAGTCTCAGAGCACTATTCCAACCCCACCTCTTTGTGGGGGTCTCCTACAGTGACAGCAAGCCACGCCCCCATCCCGCAATATACACACCCCTCTGTGGTGGAGAGAGGGAAGGAGAGAAAAGGGGGCAGAAGAAGAGAAAGAGGGACGGAAAGAGGAAAAGGGAAACCGAAAAGGACAAACTTCCAATGTCCCCAGTGATTCTACAGGACAGAGTCCTTGGTAGGAAATCAAATCACCTTAACCAAGTGGTTTCTATGCCTAGAATTCAGATGGAACCAGGTGGATCAGACTGAACAGATTTCAAACCTCTCTGAGGCTCTTACCTTCTAAACAGGGGCTACAAAATCAGTAGTAAGGAAGGAGAAAACTCCGACCTGGTTTCTCCTTAGGCTCACGTACATTAATCCTTATTCTCTCTCAGTCCTCAAGGAGAGACCTTGAGAAGGACCCTCGCTGCTGCAGAACCACGGGAGGCTCTGAGGTTGCCCCACCTTGCGCTTCCATCCTGCCTGGCCGTTGTCAGGGTCTCTCTGTGATGTCACCACCTCCCTACCACCATTCGGCTGAGGTACTGCAACAGGCCTTTGTGATGTCAGAGCCACACCCGCCCCACCCCTGCGAGGCTGGGGTCCTGCCCCTAGCGAGCCTCTTTCGATGTTTGAGCGGCTTCCCGTGGATCATTCCAGACAATTGAGTCTGGGGATCAGTTGACTGCACAGCAAAGCCCCAGAGGCTGCTCCCTCGGCCATGCTCAGTTTTTCATTAATTAGTAGACTTTAAAAGGCCAGAAGGGACCATTAGAGCATTAAATCACATCCCAGCCCTCTGGTATATCATAGGCACATGCCACAAAGGCATCTAGTCTTCATTAGAAGACATCAAGATATGGAGACTCCGTCAATTGCTTTGGTAGTTGGTTCCAATGGTGAAGTGTCCTTGCTGTGAAATATTTGTGCCTTATTTCTAACATGAATGTGTCTGTTTTCACTTTCCAGCCCCCTGGTCTTGTTCTGCCTTTCTCTGCAATATTAAACAGCCCCTTAATGCCCGAAATGTTCTCTTCAGGAAGGCACTTGGACACTGCAATGAAGTCACCTCTCAGCCTCTTTTGTAGAAATTAAACACATGTAGCTCCTTTCAGTAGCTCACAAGAAGGCGTTTTTCTCCAGCTGCCCAATCTGCAGTTTTTCAACATCTTTTTAAAATGTGGCCCCTAAACTAGGTTACAGTCTCCAATCTCAGTTTTACTGATGCTGTGTCACCTCCCTGCCCTGCTCACGCCTCTGCTCCTGTGCCTACTGCTAGCGGTAGCCGTATTCACCATAGCAACGCACTGGGAGCTCATGTTGAGCGGTTTACCAGCATAACCCCTGAATCCTTTTCAGAGTCCCTGCTTGCGTGGATACCGTTCCCCATTCCAGGGGTGCGGCTTGGGTGGGATCTTGCATTTGGCTCTGGGAAACCTGTTTTGTTGGCATGGGTCCAGCTTCCCACAGGATCCAGGCTGCTGTATGTCACTCCCCTGGCCTTGGCCTTATTTACCCTTCTGCTCATAGTTTGTCACCCGTACATGTTACCAGCAGGGATTCCATTATTGGCTTCTAGTCTACTGATAACAATTATTTAAACAATTAGGTCTTGAGAACCTCTTCAGAGCCCTAGTACCAAGAGCTTGTTCCTTACAGCCCAGCGGGAAAAGGACATCTAGACCTGCTCTTATAAAGGGGCTAAGAGCAGAACACATGCTTACGAGCTGTGTTATCCATAGGCTCTGAACAACACATGGGGATCAGCAGTTTACAAATATACTACAGTGCAGGCCCCAACTGTGCCAGTCTCCTGTCCTGTAAAATGGGAACAACACCTGAATTATCTCTGTTTTATAGGTAGGGAAACAGAGGCACAGAGAGGTGAAGACACTTGCTCATGGTAACAAATGGCAGGTCTTCTGATTGCTCTCCCCTGAGACAAATCTCTTAATTGCAACACAAGCCTGAGTATGATATGTGAGGAATTCTGAAGCTGGGAGCAAGCTCAGCCTTTGATGCAGGGAGTTTGTTTATAAACAGAGGCAGCCTGGTTAAGATAACAAAATGCTTGTCATTAAAGTAAACTAAGGATCCTTATATGATCTGGAAAGCATTGTCAGGTACTCCAGTCAACAGATAGGAATCAAAGCGTGGGAATAACTGTTGAGGATGGAGAGAAGTAAACAGTGATGTCCCCCAGGGGACCAGTGTTATTTAACATAAATGATCTGGAAAAAAGGGTAAACAGGTGGCAAAATTTGCAGATGATACAAAAATTATTCAAGATAGTTAAGTCCAAGGCAAACTGCAAAGGGATTTCACAAAATTGGGTGACTGGGTAACACAACAGTAGATGAAATTCAATGTTGATAAATGCAAAATAATATAATTCCAACTATACATATAAAATGGTGGTGTCTAAATTAGCTAACCCCATCAATAAAGAGATCTTGTAAATAGTTGTCTGAAAATGTCTGCTCCGTGTTTAGTGGCACGGATATTGGGATAACAGGATATTGGGACTCATTAGACAAGGGAATAAAACAGAAAATATCATATTGCCTCTCGATAAATTCATGGTGTGCCCACATATTGAAAACTGTGTCCAGATTTAATCACCCCATCTCAAGAAAGATATACTGGAGTTGGAAAAGTTACAGAGAAGGGCAACAGGAATGATTAATACTGAACACATTCTGTATGAGGACAGATTTAAAAAACTGGGACTTTTCAGTGTGAAAAATAGATGATTAAGTGAGAGAACTCTTTGCCAGAGAATGTTATGAAGGCGAGATATGGGGTTCAAAAAAGAACTAGATACATTCATGGAGAACAGGTTTCTCAATCGCTGTTAGCCAGAGAAGGCAGAGATCCAACACCATGATCTGTACGTCCCTCACGTCTGTTTGCCAGAACCTAGGAATGGTGACGGGATGGATCACTCAATGATTGCGTGTTGTGTTCATTCCCTCTGAAGCACCTGGATTGGCCACTGTCAAAGATAGGTATAGAGCTTCGGGGACCATTGGTCTGATCCAGTATGGCTATTATGATGTTCTTACATGGAACCCAGATGTATCTGCTCCTGCTGTAAGCTACTGGACCCCCTCCCAGAGCTGAGATAGCCCAGGAGTTCGGGTAGGGCCATCCGTCCATCTGTTCCCCTGGGAGAATTAGTAACAAAGTAACAATATAAAAATTCTAACCCAAAAGTGACTCGCCACAAGATGTCAGAACATCTTAGTATTAGAGCTGATTGAATCTAAAATATTTTTGTCTTTTTTTAATATATATAAAAATCAGATAAAGGGCTCCTGCCCGCTAACTTCCAAATTATCTGCCCGAAAACTAGGGTTCAGCGCCCCAGTACCTCTGGGCCTGGCAGTACAGAGCACGGCGCCTCTTCTGTTATAAGAAATAAGCACTGCTCACACTGCTGAGGTAAGAGAGCAGTTTGCCCTATAGACTAGGGACCTTATATTCGTGAGTCAGCTCATATGGCACAACCAAACCCTTAAGTTGCTTTAAGTTGTGATCAGAGAAAGCTGCATATCAACTGTGGTGGTCCTGGCGCCCGTCATTAGGAGGACTCGATCAACTAGACAAACTCTCTAAACTGCGCAGTAGATATCAGAGGTGAAAGTAAGCCAGTGTGGTGCACCAGCAAGAAACTGGCCAGCTGGGCACTTAGCTGCAGGGGAGAGTGGGGCGCTCCCGGCCCGGCTCCCTGCAGGCTGCCCCGCTAGAAGCAGGCAGCCTGTCAGGTTAGAGGGGTTGGCATCTGGGACTGGCCCAAGCCCGGAGCTACCATTTTGGAGGGGCTGCAGCCACATTTACCTGCATTGCTGAGTGGTGTGTTTCCCTTTTTGTTGGCTAGGGAGGGAGGCAAAGGGCACCCACCTGCTCTCTGGGAGAGCAGAGGAGGAAGGCTCACAGGGTCTGTACTTTGCCTTACTCCCTCGTCAACAAACAGGAAAAAAAACACTCAGCAAGTGGGGTAAATGCGATTGCAGCCCCCTGCCTCACCCAGCCCTCTGCCCTGAGCCCCCTCCTCAAACACCCCAACCTTGACTCCTGCATCCCCATTCCTGAAACCTGCCCCCCCACATCCTCATATCCCCTGCCCTTAGCCCCTCATACACCCCAATCTTGACTCAATGTGCAGCAGCAGTCAAAAAAGGGAACAGATTGTTCAGAATAATTAAAAAGGGGGTAGAGAATAAGACCAAGAATATCTTATTGCCTCTATATAAAATGATGGAACGCCCACATCTTGAATACTGCAAACAGATGTGGTTGCCTCATCCCAAAAAGATACATTGGCATTGGAAAAAGTTCAGAAAAGGGCAACAAAAATGATTGGGGGTTTGAAACGAGTCCCATATGAAGAGAGATTAAAAAGACTGGGATTTTCAGCTTAAAAAAGAGAATGCTAAGGGGGGGATATGATACCGGCCTATAAAATCATGACTGATGTGGAAAAAGTGAATAAGGAAAATGTATTTACTTGTTCCCATAACATGAGAACTAGGGGTCACCAAATGAAATTAATAGATAGCAAGTTTAAAACAAACAAAAGGAAGTTTTTTCTTCACACAGCTCACAGTCAACCTGTGGAACTCCTTGCCAGAGGATATTGTGAAGACCAGAACTTTAACAGGGTTCAAAAAAGAACTAGATAAATTCCTGGAGGTTAGATCCATCAATGGCTGTTAGCCAGGATGGGTAGGGATGGTGTCCCTCGCCTCTATTTGTCAGAAGCTGGAAATGGATGACAGAGGAGGGATCATGTGATGATTCCCTGTTCTGTTCACTCCTTCTCGGGCATCTTGCATTGGTCACTGTTGGCAGACACGACACTGGGCTAGATGGACCTTTGTTCTGGCCCAGTATGGCTGTTCTTATGTTCCTGCACCCCCACATACTCCAGTCTTCTGCCCTGAGCCCTCGCACTCCACCCCACACTTACATTTCTTACAGGTACTGTGGTATTGCCAGTCCCCCACTCTCCCCCGCCCCCCGTTTAGCTCCCCCTAAACAGTGGGGGTGGGTTGTGATAGGACAGTAAAAAAATTATGTTATTTTCACCTCTGAACCCCACCATGAGTGTTCCCCAGACACCTCTGAACCCCACCATGAGTGTATCCCCAAAGAGCTGGAAGTCTGACTAGCTGGGACGGAGATGGGAACTGAACACAGATTTTCTAAGCACTACTTCAATTCCTTATCCACAAGGACAGGCTTCTATTTGCGTTTCAGGGGGCTGTCTTTATTCCAGTGAAGGCGGTTGTGTAACTGCTCCAGCTGCCGGTACTGTGTAATTCAGCTTGTCTGAAAGGGAACCTGAAATGACAATAGAGAGAAAAATTAACCCTCACGGAGATGGGAACTGAACACAGATTTTCTAAGCACTACTTCAATTCCTTATCCACAAGGACAGGCTTCTATTTGCGTTTCAGGGGGCTGTCTTTATTCCAGTGAAGGCGGTTGTGTAACTGCTCCAGCTGCCGGTACTGTGTAATTCAGCTTGTCTGAAAGGGAACCTGAAATGACAATAGAGAGAAAAATTAACCCTCCTGCCACACAGTGTGGCAGGCCTGTCGAAATGTCTCATTTTCACCTTCTCTTCATCCCCTCAAGTATTTGATGGCCGGGTAGATTTGCAGAGCACTGCATAGGGTGTTGTCTGCACCAGCTCCCAACACCTTAATGAGCATCTCATAGGCAGCGCTTTGCAAGTGTTCTACATGCTATCACCGGTTCAAATCTGCCCCTTGCTGGCTGTGGCTGAAAGTTACAGCTGAAGGCTGTTTGGTGGCCTGGCTGAAATTGAGTGATATTTTGTGACTTCCTAGCACAGGTCTGATGCTGTCCATGGCATTTGAAGCCTAGTCCTATACAGAGTCTTTAATTCATGCCAGGGCTGAGCCTTGGCACCCCAGCAGTTCATAGCCATAGTTCAGCGCCCTGGCATCTCTGGGCTAGTAGTTCAGAGGCCAGACTCTCTTGGTCGGAGCGGTGTTTGTCCAAGTTACCCAGGAGGTACAGCGCTCCATTGCAATTCAAAGTGTAGCCACCGAGAAAGTCCTCTGCCCTGAACCAGAGCAAGCCTACAGAGATGGATCATCTCAGAGACTCAAAGGCAGCAGTCATTTGGAGAGAGGAAGTTGGACCTGGGGAAGAGTCAGTGTGGGGGTGTGGGAAAGCGTAGGAAAATCCCAGATCACTGTTCCTTCAGGGGCCTGGGAGCATGAGCCCCACTGATCGAAATAGGTCAGCCAAAGGCTACAGAAGAGGGTGGGGAAGGTTGGGCCCTTCTGGCCTTAGGTCTAGGAGGGGGCACAGCAAGACTCTCCTCTCTCCCCATCAAGCACAGATAGGTTTGGGAGATTATTAGACGCTCCTGGGAAGGACTAAGAGTGATTAGATGAGTAGGCATGGGAGGCCCCAAGCCCTCACGGGAGATGTTGGGTCGTGTGACAAAGTAGGGATTTTATATGCCTTGTTTCTTAATATCAGCTTAGGAGCACAGAGAGCATCTAACACTGTTCACCTCAGGAAGTCTCTACAAGGGGAGAGAAAAACCCCAGCAT